TTTGCTGCGTAGATGCGCTTGCGCTGTGTTGAGTCAGAAGAGTGTTGTTAGGAGGTACAGGAGTTGACTCTGTATCATTGCAAATATGTTTTAGCACATATTCACTGGTGCATTCAACTGGGTCTTCCAGTTCTGCTGGGAAAAGACAGTCTAATTTAGTACTTTCTCCCATTGCTTGTTCAAGGACTTTCAGCCTTCCAAGGGCAGCTGCTTCCACCGTTTCCATTTGCAGAATCTTTATTTGGGATTCTGCTTCTACTTGTTGAGTAGCCATCTCTGCTTGGCAAGCTGTCATTTCTGCTTGGCGAGCTGCCTTTTGTGCTTCTATTTCTGCTTCCTTTCTGGCAAAGCAGCTTAACACTTTATTTGTGTCCAGATTTGCACGGGCCTCTATTAGCTTGTCGCTTAATGTTGAACTTCTGGAGCGAGAGGATCGAGAAGAACGCGCTGTGAGCATGGTTGATGTGGATCTGTGAGATCTGGTCTCCTGCATTTGAGCAATGCAGAGTTCTGCCTTATACTTAGCATTTTGCACTAAAAGATCCCTTTGTTGGTTTAGTGCATCAGTCTTAGTCAGTTCTGTTGAAGAGTCCTCTATATCAGAGTGCTTTAAGAAAGCTGTGTAGGGGCGTGGCCTGCTAGAGAGCCTGATAGCAGCATAATTCCAGAGCTCCGTGCACACACAGGCCCAGGATCACACTACAGCGACAAGTGGGCTCTGTACCGGCTTCTTTCTTCACCGGCAAACACACAACTCACCTCCGGACATGTCCCGCAGACGGAGGAATGGCTCCCGTACGCATAAGGTAACAGAATTCTTCCGCCCGTCCAAGTCCCGGACTTCCCAAGATGGCCGTGGCGGCTCTTCCCCCTCTGTCTCCCTCACAGGGCTCCGAGGAATCAGATGCAGGCCCTTGACTTCTTAAGACCTGCTCCTGACCACTGGTGGCTTAATCTCCAGCCTCCCCTACCACGCAGAGCCCTGCAAAATCGAGACCCGGGCTTTTTCAGGCCGAACGGATGAGGTGAGCCTTTCCCACCACACACTAGATGACACCAGGGAGCTCTTCGCCCCAATTATGAACTACTCAACTACCAATCAACCTCTCTCAGATACTGAGAAACAAAGGGAGCTTATCCAGAAGCACAGACACCGTTTCAGTTAACCCCTTCCTCGCAAATGAGGTTTACAGCTGGCTGTACTCAACAACCCATAACTAAACTTAAGATACTAAAAAGAGCTCGGCACTGATACTAGAAGGGAGTCAAGCCACAGTAGTTATAGAGGGTCGGAGAAGCCAATTAATACAGTAAAAACACTTTATTAAATAATTGCACATGAATAAAACCATATAACACTAGACCCCCACCCTGCAAAAAGCTAAAACAGTGTGTAGACAACATTGTCTCACTCTCATACATCACTTACGCATTCGGGCAGGCTGATAAGGTTAATTATTGATTGCCGGCGGAGCTCCAAGAAGAAAGAAAAATAAAAAGTATCCAATAAGTAGCTCTTCAAAGTGCACCATAAATTGTCATAATATTGAAACAAAGTAGATCTTTGAGCCGTTCTGACGAAGCCCTGGGGAAATAGGCGGGGTAAACGCGTCAACGTTATGCAGAGGACCCACGGCTGATCATACACCTGCGATTCAGGTAGTAAAGCTGGATGAAGGAGCCGCAGCTTACCCACACAAACGAAGCTGAAAATCAAGTGCTCCATTAATTGGCTTCTCCGACCCTCTATAACTACTGTGGCTTGACTCCCTTCTAGGATCAGTGCCGAGTTATTTTTATTCTCTCAGATACTACACGAAAGGACATGCTAGTGTCCCTGGAAAGCTCACTTAAATCAGATATGCAGTCTTTGGTGTAACAATTTAAATCTGATCTACAGGAGATGGGTGACAGAGTTTCGCACATTGAAAACAAGATGGGAGACTGCATCCAACTTTAATGAGCTTGTGGATTCCCATAATGACAGGGAAGACAATATTACTTGGCGGTCTCACCGGCCTATTAGAACTTTTTTGTTTTTTGTCTCAATGGAGAGAGCCACCATTTGATGATTGTATAAAAGCATTTGGAATCATTAAAAAAATTATTGCACTGGTGGAACAGGGCGGTACTTCTTACATATACTGTACATGCTAAAGAAAGGGCTTCACCTCTAATATCAAGCCCAGGTGATGAAACACGCGAGAGGTGTTGGTGTGGGAGAGACTTATGGTGGTGTACATGTCGCATGTCGTATTCTGTATGTAACTTCGGATTTTTGGATTTATTTCAATAAACACTTTGGATTTTACTTACGCTGTTCTTTATGTGGCTGATTCTTGGAGACTGAATTGAGAGGTGGAGAGCACACTGCAGCCTGCACCCAGTGTATGTATTGACTGCAGCTGGAGAAAGAATCAGAGTGATGAGTCCATAGAACTCTATGAAATTTCTAAAGGTGTGTTTGTTATTTTAAAGATATGGGTAAAGGCCCGCTTTAAGAAGAATACGGCCTTGCAAATGGCTATCAGCCATTTATCCACACTGCAAAATCCTCCAGGAACAGAAAGACTTTTGTTCAGGCAGGAAATGGCTGGATCCACAACGGGAACAGCCCACTTCTTAAAGATGGGACGCCAGGAATTTTTTTTGCACGTTAACTGTGTAAAAAGGGAATTGTGATATTGGTGGCTGACTAAATACTTTTTTGCCCCACTGTATATCATTGCATTTCATTGCGTTATGCTGCATTTCTAGCTACAAGAGTAAGATTAGCATTGTTACAGCCTAATCTGTGCATACTTGGCATCTTCCACTTCACCCCTGCTGTTTTCTGTACATTGGTACAGTCTTTTGCTGAAACCTTCCCAGTGATCCTTTGTACTGTCTCTTTCTACATCACCCTCGCTGAGGTAAGAGGGTCTCTGTTATCCTGTTAATGGCAAAGATAGGAAGGTCTTTTCACTCTAAGAATGACATAGAATCCCATTCTATGTATTGAGAAGGTAAATAAACTGCATTGGATTCTACTCTGAGTCTTCTTATCGAGGTGGATACTATCTGTTAATAACAGCAAGTCAGTAGGTTATCATACTGCCCTTACAGATAATTCTCAGGAGGTTATCATACTGCCCTTACAGATAATTCTCAGGAAAGTATGTACAGCAGATACATAAAGCGGTGTTTGTAAAATAATAAATTGCCCTAATGATCTATGTACTAGGATGTTTCACTGTATACAGAGTAAACTTTTAAAGGTAACCCAAGCTGGTAAATTTTGGGATTTGTAGATACAGGGTGCTCTAATTTTCGATCTGTGCACTGCGTCAATATGGACCAAAATGGTACCATTAAAACTTAGGAGGTAAGTCAGCAGACTCAACTTCCTCAGGAAATAATCTGTCCAACACAACCAAGGTACAATCCTCATCATGTTCTGTTGAATGTGCAGATACAAAAGTAGCTGTAGGAAAGTTAGAAACAAACTCATGAGGAAAAGATGTGGAACAATGCTTGTGACTCTTGCACTCTGAGTCAGCTATCATGGCTGAAATTATTTTCTTTAAAATCTGGGAGAGAGAGAGGGCCATGCCGGAGGGAGCTAAGGAACACCCCAAGTAGCATGTGGACTCAAGCAGAAGACAGTGATCCGAGCTATCGGATGAGATAAGCTGTAAAGGCTTGCTGGACCCCTTTGCTTGAGCTTATGATCAGCCCATACTGACAGTATGTAAAGTGAGGAAACACCAAATGGGTACTCACTAACCATTGTCTGAGCAGGAGGGGTTAAATTACCATCTGCGATCAGGTTACTTTAAAGGCAGGACCTGCCTAGGATTTCACAGGCAGAGCGTGGGAGATGCAGAGGAGCCCATACACGCTCAACAGTATGTGTTGCAGCTCTCGGATAACATCCCAACCAGGGACAGTGGGGGCACTGAGGGAAGGTGCCAGGCTCCAAAGGCAGGGGCAATCCCTAAGTACTCAGGGGGTAAGGAGGTCTGGATGGCCAAGGGGGTCCCAGGCTGGGCACATATGCACACTCCAGACAGTCTTCGTTCCTCCAGTGGGCATACACCCAAAGGAGTCTTTAGGAACGGGAATCCACCAGTCAGGTATATCGCAGGCCTGGAGCTGAAAAGCGCTCTGCAGCTAACTTACACAGTATAACAAATGTCTAGTTAGTCGTTTGGCGAACCAACCAAAATTCGCACAGTGGGTTTCGCTGTCGGCACCCTTTTGACCGGCATCCCTCTATCAGTTGATCAAAGGAGACAGTCGGACAGTCTTCGTACGAAAAGAGGTGGCAGCCAATGAACTGCCAGCCCTGTTCAGGTATTTAGAAAAAACAGCAGGGATTGCTCGATCATCGTGCTCGTTGCGTTGATGGAGGAATCTGCTCTATTTTTTTCGTTCAGTCCGCGGGTTGAACAAAAAAAACAAAATAGAGAAGTGTATGGCCAGCTTAAAGTTACATTAAAGAATACATTTTTTTCCCCTCTCCCCAATGTTAATGTCAGCACTTACCTTAAATTATGTCTCCTAATCCGATCTTCTTTCCTGATGTTTTCATCTGTCCCTCCAGCGGTGCGGCGGCTCTCCAATCCAGCGCTGACTCCACTCTCCACAACTGTTTGCCTATATCTACTGCTTGATATTAGTAGATATAGGCAAAAAAACAGGAGGGTTTAGAACCCCTTTAATATGTAATCTGTCCTGCGTCCCTAAATGAATGATTAAAAAAATATTATTTGGGTTGAGCAAGGTAGGGTTTCATCCCAATTTGGGTCTTTGCATCTATGGAACATGTCAGAGCTGAGAAATACTGAGCTCAGTATTAAGCTTAAACGGATTCCTCCATAAACTCCTGTAGAGACACCACTAGAAGGCATTACTCTTTTACATAATAATACAAATACATTCATGAAATACATAAAAGGTTTCCTTATTCATTGCAAGGCCCTTAGTAAAATGCAAAAAAAAGCTAAAATTTTGTTTACCTGTGTCAAAGCAAAACAAGTCCCTATAAAAGGATCTGCCTGCCATCCCGCCATGAACAAACAATTTGTTTCCGACAGCAACCATGGTGTGACCATGACGTGGCTTTGGTGGAGCACCAGATGTGTCAAGTAATGTCCATGTCAGGTTAGCTATAAAATATTTACATTAAAAAATTATAAGATCATGTAAATATACATGAATATTAAAGTTGTAGCAGGTTAATACAAGTCATAGAAAATAATGTGCATCTCTAGGCAAAATGGTCAGTTTTTTTTTTTTTCCAATGAACATTTTGGATTTCCTATCACTTTCTTTACCAGTAACAATATCTTTGCTTTCTTTTTGTGTGTATACAATAATAACGTTAACCTCTTGCTTTTCTTTTTCATATATATATATATATTTCCAAGTGCCCTATAGCGTGAGCCCATTCTTTTTTCTGTCCTCGCCATGGCAAGCTCTCGGAGGAATATTTTGATTTTTGTCCTTACCTGCCGTTTTCCTGCGGCCACACCACTCAGGGTCAGGCTCCCCTACAGACAAGGTATCCCCCAGGCAGTCCCAGTCTGAGTGTCCTAGGGACCTTTTCCAGGATTGTTACGGGTTGTAACGCTTTCACCTTTGGCTTGTGTCGCCTGACCTCACCTCTGATCTCCTGCTGGATGCCCGAGTCCCCCATCCTCCTCCTAAGTCAGTGTCTCTCGCTCTGCACACACGCGGTTGCCATTCCTAACATGGCAGCCACATGCTTTGTACGCAGGTCCAGTTTCCGTGACAGACGGCGCTGCGTCCCTGAATTGTGCAGGCACTGACGTCTGTTGTGCAGAGCCTATTTGAAGCTAACAGCGGCGGTGTTTCTTCCCGCTCGTCCACGCTGCTCCTCTCTGTGCCGCTCGGACATGCTACGGTAGGCCTCTCCTCTGCTCTCTCAATCATCAATTCATTCCACTAAGTAGGGTGGATGGGGGTCACGGCTTCTTCCTGCCTAAATCATTTGATTTTGTATTGGTTTCTTAGAGCCATGGCTGACACTGCTGCCTCCAAAGACACTCCACTAACTAATAGGTAAGGGCTACCCTGTGCTAATTGCTTCATTACAGCCATCCTCACAAAGATCACCACAGATCCCGAAGGGCCAAGCGAAAATCCCGCTCACCCAGAAGCGCAGTTGCTCTCGCTCTGCCTTTGGATCCCATTCTTCACCCAGACGCTCTAGCAGGGATTGGCACTCTTGTTGGGTATGTGGTAAGCAGGCCATTCCTGGAAAACTAGTGTGCCAGGGTTGCCTAGCTGAAGCAACGCAGGAACATATCGCCTCTTCCACGGATTTATCCTCTCTGATCAAACAGTCAATCAAGGACTGCATGAGAGAGACGTCGAGCCCCCCTGCCCCTATTCTTGGTCCTAGCACGTCCCAGCAAGTTTTGGGAGACTCCTCGGACTCTTAGGCCTCAGATGTATCCCACCATATGGGAAATTTGGGCCAATCGGGTTTTCATTTTGCCCTAGTTGAGTCCTTCATCGTGGCAGTTAAAAAGGCCATTGACTGGGATGAACCAATTAAACAGGCCGCGAAAATCAAGCAGTATTTCCCTCATCTCTAGAGATCTTCAGTTAATTTTCCCTTTATGGAGGAAATCCGTGAAGTCATCTTAGATGAATGGAAGCGTTTAGAAAGGAAGCCTAATCTCAATAATAGGCTACAAAAGCTATATCATTTTAAAGAAGAGGAACTGTCTGGCCTGGTTGATTCCCCAGTGGATGATGCAGCTACCATGCGTCTCGCTAAGCACCTCATACTCCCAATGGTGGACGCAGTTTCCGTTCGATACCCCCTCGAACGCAGGGTGGATTTAGATCTCAAAAGAGCCTATATGTCTGCAGGGGGTACTTGTCGACCTACCGTAGCACTCGCTTAAGACTCCAGGGTCATTTCAGCCTGGACTAACAATACAGAGAAGGCCTTGCGATCGGAGGTTGGCAGAGAGCAGCTTATTACGGCTCTACAGGAACTTAGGCTGGCCAGTGACTTTGTCGGTGAAGCCGCCATTGACTTTGTTTGGAGTTCCACTAGAACAATGCTCCACACTGTGACGGCTAAAAGAGCCTTGTGGTTGAAACGCTAGGTTGCTTATAACTCTTCAAAGAACAACTGGTGCAGGATCCCATTCGATGGTTCCAACCTCTTCAGAGGTAAACTAGATGAGGCTCTCTCTAAAGTATCTGGTGGGAAGTCGGGCCTGTTGCTACTGGACTGGCAAAAAAACCGCCCCAAACAATTCATTCAACAAATTCCAGAGATTTCTACGTTTTTTCATTCCTCGATTTTAATTTGCAGTTTCTTTGTCTCCCATTCGGGATCCCCACAGCCCCCAGCACTTTCACTAAATTGTTGCTTCCCATCACCATTATAAGGGAACAGGGCCTTAGACTAAATAACTACTTAGACAACATTATGCTCCTGACAGGTCTATAATCCTTCGATTTCAACAGCTTCTCTTGTCTACCCTCCAACGGTTCGGATGGTGATAAACTCGGAGAAGTCGAACTTCTCTCCATCCCAGTCAATTATTTTTCTGGGTGCCTTTCTGAATACGGTCAACATCACTAAGTCTCCCGGAGGCAAAGGCTCTTCAGATCCAACAGAAGGTCGTCACATGCCGGCCTCAAAAATGTCTAAGCCTACTGGGGACAATGTCCTCCTTGCTTCCAATGGTGAGATGGGCCTATTGGGCAACAAGAGATTTTTTTCTATGTATTGAATGTATGTATTTTTTATATTTATATTGATTATTAATTTATGTGTCAATGAAATTTTATGAAACATTACATATTTTATTGTAAAATATGTCATTTTTCTTATAAGCATGGATTATGCGCGTATACAGGTGAAACTCGAATAATTAGAATATCGTGCAAAGTTCATTTATTTCACTAATGCAACTTAAAAGGTGAAACTAATATATGAGATAGACTCATTACATGCAAAGCAAGATAATTCAAGCCGTGATTTGTCATAATTGTGATGATTATGGCTTACAGCTCATGAAAACCCCAAATCCACAACCTCAAAAAAGTAGATTATTACATGCAATCAATAAAAAAAGGATTGTACATAGAACAATATCGGACCTCTGAAAAGTACAAGCATGCCTATGTACTCAGTACTTGGTTTGGGCCCCTTTTGCAGCACTTACTGCAATTACTTTTGCACGATATTCTAATTATTCGAGTTTCACCTGTATTATTTTAATGTAGTTTTGTGTATAGGCCACTCCAAGCTCTATTAAGGATGAATACTGAAATCATGTTGATTATGAGTATACAGATTGTGCCGTATAGGCTAAAAAATTCTGCCAATCTTGCGGCTGTTTTAGTTTAAGTCCTTTTGATTGGCTCAGGTTTGAACATCTCTGATTGGTTGAAATCTGATGACGAGCCGATTGTCTGGCTTAAAGTCTGTCTGAGCTTGGAGTGGTCAGGGTTCTGAGAAAGGGGGCGTGCCCCAGAAACGCATTAACCTTTGCCACTTGCTGCTGGAAGATGACTTCGGTCATGAGCTGACTTGGCTGTGCTGTGGCTTCTGGCGGGCGATAACCTCCTCTGAGGGGAACCATTGAATAAGCTTGTCACTTTTCTCTTGTGAGTACATTACCAATTTTTATAAGCAAAATATTAAACGATCCTTCACATGGAGTGGGCGCTCTCCTTTTTTTGTCATTCTATTTTCCTGCACCTAATCGCTCCTGTGGCACTCGTGCTCCTCGCCTTCCTCTCACACCCTGTTCCCAACTCTAGGGGGTGTAGGACGCGAGAAGTAAGAGAAGCCTCAACTACTATTGGTCTTTCACCAGGTACGTGATACAGAATGTGCTGGCGGACACCCTGAGCAGTTGCTCTATCAGCAACCACAAATGGTCCCTACGCAGGGGAGTCTTCACTCCAACCAGAGATGCATCTCTTTGCATCCTCACTGAACACCAAGTGCAAGGGGTTCATGTCCCAGTGCCCTTGCAAGGAAGCAGCAGACATGGATGCCTTAACAGGAGTTTGGAACTTCAGGAAAGGCGCTTTTCTCCCGTTGCCTCTAATAGGCAAATTCCTCGAGCGGGTGTCTCTCTTTCCGGGAACGATTCTTGCCATCATCCCTTATTGGCCAAGGATGCCTTGGTTCCCCTAAATGTTACACCTCAGCCCGGAACCTCCACTCATGCTCCGGGAGATGCCAGACCTCCTGTCACAGGGCCAGTTTCTGCATCCAGCCCCAGGGAATCTGAACCTTGCGGATTGGAAATTGAGCGGGATAAGCGCCTCATCCTAGGCTGTTCCCAAGCGGTTGTCGATATTCTTCTCAAGTCCAGGAAGTCCTCCACCCACTTCACCTACAGAAGAGTCTGGGAGAACTTTCTTGTGGCCGCAAGGGAAAGGGGCTTTAATCCTACGGCTCCAGAGGTCACCAATGTCCTCTAATTTCTCCAGACGGGCTGGAACACGCTGAAGGTCCATATTTCGGCTATCTCGTCCCTCACTAACGTTAGATTGTCCTTCCATCCTTTAGTGAGGCTGTTTTTGAGAGCCTGTCTCAAACTTAGGCCTCCCAGGAAGCAACTATTTCCGCAATGGGATCTGACCATTGTATTGAGATCCTTGTTTTCCTCTCCGTTTTCCCCTTCATCAGGGTCAACCATGTGGAATTTGACCATTAATGTTTTTCTGATGGCTATTGCTTCCGCTAGACGGGTGTCTGAGCTTCATGCCTTGACCATCGGTAGTCCTTACTGCGAGTTCTTTCCTGACCGGGCGCTCTTGAGACCCAAGAGAACCTTTTTTGCCTAAGGTTACTACCTCCTTTCATGTAAATCAGGAAATTGTGCTTCCATCACTGCATAGATGGGGAACTGCATCCTTTGGACTTTGTTAAAAACCCTATGACCACACAACCCGTAAGATCCTCGAACACCCTCTTCATCCTCCCTAGAGCACTCAGGAGAGGGCAGGCCGCCACAGCTAGAATCCTAGTCTCTTGGCTTGTTAAGACCATCAAGAATGCATACGTGATCCAGGGCATACCTGCCCCAGAAGAAATTCGAGCGCATTCTACCAGAGAAGTGGCAACCTCTTGGGCAGCATTTTCGAAGGTGTGAGCTGAGACAATCTGCAAAGCAGCCACCTGGTCTTCCAGGAGCAAGTTTATCAATCATTACAGGATTGTTCCGGGCACCCTGAGTACGGCAGCATTCGGCAAGACAGTTATTGCCGCAGGTTCTGCATTATGACTGTACATTCCTTATTAAACCTTTTTTTTTTACCTCGCACTCCCACTCTGTTGTGGTTTTTAACTCCCATTGTGTTCTGCCATCTTCATGTGGTTTTGACTAGAATTGGCTCACGCTATAGGACACAAAAATACACATATACACTGCTCAAAACAATTAAAGGAACACTTTTTAATCAGAGTATAGCATCAAGTCAATGAAACTCCGGGGATATTGATCAGATCAGGTAAGCAGCAGAGGGGGTTGTTAATCAGTTTCAGCTGCTTTGGTGTTAATTAAATTAACAACAGGTGCACTAGATGGGCAACAATGAGACAACCTCCAAAACAGGAATGGTTTTACAGGTGGAGGCTACTGACATTTTTTTTCCCTACTCATCTTTTCTGACTGTTTTTCACTTGTGTTGCATTTGGCTAGCGTCAGTGTCACTACTGGTAGCATAAGGCGATACCTGGACCCTATAAAGGTTGCACAGGCATGCCAACTCCTCCAGGATGGCACATCAATATGTGCCATTGACAGAAGGTTTGCTGTGTCTCCCAGCACAGTCTCAAGAGCATGGAGGAGATTCCAGGACACCGGCAGTTACTCTAGGAGAGCTTGACAGGGTGTAGAAGGTCCTTAACCCTTTAGCAGGACCGGAATCTGCCCCTTTGTCCAAGGAGAAACAGGATGAGCACTGCCAGAGCCCTACAAAATGACCTCCAGCAGGCCACTGTTGTGAATGTCTCTGACCAAACGATTAGAAACAGACTTCATGAGGGTGGCCTGAGGGCCCAATGTCCTCTAGTGGGCCCTGTGCTCACTGCCCGGCATCGTGGAGGTCAATTGGCATTTGCCATTGAACACCAAAATTGGCAGGTCCGCCACTGGCGCCCTGTGCTTTTCACCCTCAGCATATGTGACAGACATGAAAGGGTCTGGAGAACCCGTGGAGAACATTATGCTGCCTATAACATCGCTCAGCATGACCGGTTTGGTGGTGGGTCAGTGATGGCCTGGGGAGGCATATCCATGGGGGGACGCACAGACCTCTACAGGCTAGAAAATGGCACCCTGACTACCATTAGGTATCGGGATGAAATCCTTGGACCCATTGTCAGACCCTATGCTGGTGCAGTGGGTCCTGGGTTCGTCCTGGTGCACGACAATGCCCGGCCTCATGTGACGAGAGTATGCAGCCAGTTCCTTCAGGATGAAGGGATTGATACCATTGAATGCCCCTCACGCTCGTCTGACCTGAATCCAATAGTACACCTGGGGCATTATGTCTCGGTCCATACAAACCACGCAGCACGTGGGGGCCATACAAGTTGCGAGTACCATTTTGAGTTGCTGCAATTAAATTTCAGCACAATTTTTAGTCTGCTGCATCATTTGTTCACTTTGATTTTTGGGGTGTCTTTGAATTCAGCCCTCTGTATGTTGATAATTTGTCATTTCCATCAAACGATGTGGCATCCTTTCGCTCCTAACACATTACCCAGTCCAGTATACAGTAGATACCCAGCATGATATTTTTCCCCATTGAGATCTGATGCGCTTTCAAAGTGTTCCTTTAATTTTTTTGAGCAGTATATATATATATATATATATATACACACACACACACACACACACACGTATATATATTTATAAAATAAGTTTTGCCTGTCAAATAATTTGTATTTATGTCTTTCAGTCCTGAGGTTTTACAGCCCTGGCACACAGTATAGCCAGACAGATACCACTTTTTCTGTTCTTTTTAAGAAATACAGTGCATCAACCCAACCTCCATCTGCTGATTGGACAATGAAACAGTACTTCTCTCTGCTTAACCTTGCAGACTAAGCTACAGTACAGACCATTCAAAAAGAGAAACTCCAGAGAGTATCAAACAGCACAAGCCAAAACTTTGATAAATATGTATGAAAAAGAATGCAATTAAAAGAGAACTATGGGGTAAGTGTTTTTCCCCATAGTTATCCTAAGGGTCACGGGAGGACTAAAACTAGCGTCCTCCCGTGACCCAAAGCTCAGTATATCGCGAGCTATGGCTTGAGATATACTGAGACCGCTGCAGCCAGCACGGATCCCGACATTACTGTCGAGATCCACCCAGCTGACAGCTGGCATTGCCTATCTAGAGGCAGAGCCAGCTGTACCCGCCTCCCCCTCAGTCCGTTCCTCCAGACAGCGCTGGAGGATCGGAGCGGGGAGGAATCCCTGCAGGGAGCCGTGAGTGACGTCACGACTCTCTGCAGAGAGATGATCGAGAAGTGAGGGAGCGACGGTATGTGTTCGCTCACTTCCCGATCAATAGAGCCGACATGTGACGTGTCGGGTCGAACTATGATGAGTGAAAATCACTTACCTCATAGTTCTCCTTTAAATACTATATATATATATTGATGGACATACATTTAAAAACATCTGGAACACAAGTCAAACCCCAAAATATGGATGTTATATAATAATACATTTATAGCCACAGCAACCTCCCCCTTTGGGTGAGATCCAGATTGCAAATAATATTTACCCAATTCATAAGTATTCAGTGAAACAATATATATGCTCTTATCAATGTGTGGAAGAGAGGGAGGGTGCCACTGTGCTTCAGAGGCTCTGCGGTACAGTGGCAACCTCCATCTCCTTCACACTCAGATAAGAAGCCTTATGTGGCTTGTGCTGTTTTACACTGTATGGAGATTTCCTTTTCTAATGGCACATTTGCATGCAGAATATCTGTGTGGCTCCAAGTATTGCCCCTGCTGTACAGGGGACATACAGCTCATATCAAGCAAGACATATTTGATATACAGAAATACAGTATGTAGTTGCAGTAAAGCCTATACCTAGGCAAACCATGAAACTACTTTTAGTGGGCTACCAATGCACTGCAAGGGTAAACTGCTTGATTGTACTCAGGGAAACAGAGTAAAGCAGAGTAAAGTTATTCACCTGATGCCAGCTCCCCCAGTGGTCAGGGCTCACTTCCTTCTCCTCTGCTCAGACTGGTAGAATCCCTAATCGTCAGCCTCACATCTAATGTAGGTCTATGGAACCTGCGTTGGACATGATGACGTTAGAAATCTTTGGACCGAAGGGGAGAAGGCTGCGGGGACTAGTCTAGCGAGTGGGCAGGAGCCGGGATCAAGGTATAAACAAGCAGGTAACCCTTGCAGTGCAGGGTTAGCCCGAATGCAAAGGTAGTTTTTTGGTTTGCCCAGAGAAAGGCTTTAATTTATGTCTTTTATATTCTATATGAGTTCAGCTTTAAATGATAAACTCTTTCCTTTCTTTTTGTTTTGTGTGCATATACTATAGATGATGATATTGCACTTCAACCCAAAAGGGGGTTAGGAGAGACAAAAAAGTAAAAGAGTTTTATGTATTTATCAGTACAGAGCGGTAAGTGTCTAATATTTATACATTAGTCATCAGAACAGATAGAGATAGTCAATCTCACCAGCAAGGAGAGGCGACAAAATAAAAACCTGGCAGAGGTTCTAACCATACTTTATCCAAAACAAAAATGTTTTGGCTATAGAAATTCTTTAAAAACATCCACATATTTTTAAGATTGTGTAATCTTACCAGCATCAAACACATAGAGGTTTTTATCAGCAACAGGTTCTGCACCTTTCTCCCCTCCTCCAAAAACAAAGAGTTTGTCTCCAATTGAAGCAGATGTTGTATGGAAGGTCCGAGGTGAAGGAATACAGCCTTGCACCTTTGGGCTTTTCCAAGAATGACTACCTAAGAAACAGACAAAAACACATTCATGTGTTGTATTCTAAAAATCCAGTATCTTAAAGCGGACCTGTACCCATATCTTTAACCCCTTCATGACTGAGCTAGTTTTCAGTTTCTGTTCATAAACGACTGACACACTTTTTACATTTTTGCTGTGTGATTCTTCCACAGCAGTAATATACTTTCTTACTAAATGTACCCACACATATTATATATTGTTTTTTAGAGGACAGATAGGGCTATATAATTATATCACATATGTGTACCTAACCCCTCACTTACTTTGAATACAAAAAAAATGAGGAAAAAAACTAGAAGAAAAAACAACACTTTTTTCACAAGTTTTAATTATTATTTTTTTTAGAATGTTTGTATATTAATTATAGTATAAAAAATATTTATATATAATTTTTATTTTCCTAATTTTGTTTTACACTTTATTTGTATTTTTTTACACTTTGTAAAAAAAATTTAAAAAAAACTTTTTTTTTCTTGTCAGTTTATATCAAGCAGTCACTATGACTGCTTGATAAATAAACTTTTTAAAACATTTTTTGGCAATTAGGCTACTCCAAACTTAGGAACAGCTAATAATAACCTTAGAGACTGATCCTGACTTTAGTCAGATCTCCCTAAAAGCTCTTTGAACGTGCCTAGACGATCAGAACTGATACATTTCACTCAAAAGATATACATTGTAAACATCGGGCTCTCGAGTCACTGCTACCTCTCTATTAAGCTTTTTGTAAAAGCTTCTTCCTTTCATTAATGAAAGAATGAAGCCGTTACATGCAAATACAGGACCGCAATTTGCGATCCTGTATTTGACAGCTGAAAATAGCTTGATGTATTGATTACTAGAGCCTTATGATTATTATAGGCACCTCTGTATTTTCCTGATGAAGCCTTGAGCGAAACATGTCAAACTGGACACATCATAGATCTACTGAACATTTATGGATTAATTTATTTATGCAATTATATAAAGAGATATTTAAGGAGATATGTGAATAAGATATTGTCATATACACAGTATGTATCTATATGTGATCCAGGGAGGTTTTGTACCATTTAATAATATCACTAATCTGTCATCTTTAGTATTTTAATAAAGAATATATATATTTTTATACAATAAGCGACTTGTATGTGCAATTTTGAACTGGGTCTCCTTGCATTTGATGACACTTTTAAAGCCCCATTTCTCTATTTTTGTATTTTGTACTATTTTAGGTTATTCACTGGACTTGAACTGTGTAAATTTGAATAGAAACTGGAAAAATGGGGGTGTTATAAAACTTTGACCGGTAGTATATACTGTATACTGTATATATAGTATATATCAATTAGGCTGTATGTATTTCTTATAATAATTATGTAAAATGCTTTGCTTTTGTTCATTCTTGTTCACAATTCCCTTAGCAAACAAGACTCGGGGCTTGAAGCGATCACAGGAAACAGACTCTTGATCTTGGACCATACAAAGTGAATGATGTAACAGTCTCCTGCCCTTAGTGAAGTCCATAAGAACCTGGTTTATAAGGCTTATTTTGAGATTTTGTAGCCTCACCCACTGTATCATTTTCCAGGTGTTTATTCAGCCTTGCTTTAGTTGCTGCAGCTCTTGTTGGATGTTCCTGGTATGCAGTGGTCAGGACCTACCACAAGTGGTCCAAGAAAGGAAAAATGGTGAACCAGCAACAGGGTCATGGGCAGCCATGGCTCATTGGTACACAATGGGAGCAAGGGCTGACCCATGTAGCCCAATCCTAATAGAAGAGCTCAAATGGCTGAAAAAGTTAATGCACGTTCCAATAGAAAGGTGTCCTAACACACAGTGCATCGCAGTTTGTTGTGTATGGGGCTGCGCAGCCGCAGACCGGTCAGTGTGACCATGCTGGCCCATCTCTACTGCCAGAAGTGCCTACAGTGGGCACGTGAGCATCAGAACTGGTCCATTGAGCAGTGCAAGAAGGTGGCCTTGTCTGATGTATCATCACAGGCTATCTCCCCTTCAGTCTACCATGAATGCTGCTGCCAGACTAATCCACCTAACCAACCCCTTTTAAAACCCCATTTCTCTATTTTTGTTTTCTGTATACTTAGCGGTGTGGTGTCCTAGTTCGTGTGGTGATTCGCAATTTTGTGTAAAATAGTACAAAATGTAAGGGATAAACTGCCAAATATACTGAAAATGTAGTGCCGAGCAGGCTATTAAAGATAGAAGCCAAGCATACCACATTCTAAAATTGTATTTCACTCCTTGTATTTTGTGACCTATAACTCCCAAAATAAACTGAAATCCCAGATATATGATATACCCTATAAATCAGGACAAATAAAATAATTTATTATAAATTACTTTCTGTTAGCTACACTAATTATGTACACATTATTTTTGCCAAAGCTGTGAAAAATGTGTTTATTTATTTTACATAAAACTTTTTTTATATATATACATATGTCACATCAAATTAAAGTCAAATTTGTCCTTTAAAAAACAGTATTTAATATAATAGGTGTAATGCATGAGGAAGACGGGAGTTATTGTTAATAAACACATAGCACAAATGACAAATTGCTCCGGTCCACAGAAGCGAAAACATTTTCTGAAACTGTGTCACTAAATGGTTAAGTTTGCACTTAGTATTAAGTAGTTTCTATGCATGTTATTTTCATCTTAGTTCCTGATGACCCACTTGCATTCCCTACACCTCTATATGTTACTACGACCCTTTCACAGGCTGGCTTAGGTTACTTATGCTATACAGCAATGTCTCTATTTATTTGCAATCTTATACTGGATGCTTCTTTACCTTTGCCCTTTTGGGATACCCCTGCCCGGGTGGTTCCTTGTGTGCTTTCTGACTCGTTGTCGGCGCTTCTCTGCTATGGGTCAGCTAGTTTAGCATCATTTAATGTTTTTTTGATGTTACCTCAGTTTGCCTTGTGCCTTTTAAATCTTTCCCCTCTCTGCCCATCTCCCTTGTTTTTCTTTTCGGTCATTCCTTCCCTCTTTTTTCCTTGTTTACTCTCTTGCTCTTCCTTTTTCTTTAGGTTTCCTTTTTCTCTTCTCCCTGGAGCACGGGAGCTTCTACTTTGCCCTCTTCTGACCCTTTTTCACTTTTAAATTTCCCGCCGGTTCCGCCCTCCTGCGACGCCAGAGCTCGCAGGGAAGGAACCAGGAAGATGGATGCCGGCATCGGCCAGAGGACACAGCAGGGTTCGTAGGGAGAAGGAAAGTGATGCTACAGTGTGGCTCGGGGTTACCGCTTTGGGTACTGAAAATTAACCCCGAGCCACATTTGGGATTACCACCGGGAAGGTTAATGTGCAATGACTAAATGCCCTAACATAAACGTCATAAAGTATTTTGTTATCTTCACAGTCAGCCTGTGGATTGGGTGTGCCTCCGGGAAACACACTTTCCAAATCTTCTGCCCCAAAATATATTTCAATGCTCATTATCCTTTGCTTTTCGTAAATCAGTGGCTTTTCAGTGTACCTAACACCAACCCAATTCCCTTCATCATCCACATCTGTTCTTTACTGACGACAAATGCGCGGGGCACCCTTTTCTTATGCGGAGATTCTAACCTAGTCCCCAATCCTAAATTAGACAAGTATCCACCTGTTTCTTCTAATCAGTACCCTCATAGCAAAAATAGGATTTTTGTACTCACCGTAAAATCCTTTTCTCTCTGTTCATTGAAGGACACAGGGCAACAGGATGGTAGATCCTGAAAGGTAGGGTATATCGCCACCTGCAGGAGTAGGACGCTAGGCACATAACAAAAGACATAGACAGCCTAGGGGCGGCCCCTGCTGGTGGCCCAACCCCCCACCTGCTGACAAGTCTCCAGTTAGTAACAAGCAGTTAGGAGTGCACACCCAGAGAAAGAGGGCCGGGCCTGTGTCCTTCAATGAACGGAGAGAAAAGGATTTTACGGTGAGTACAAAAATCCTATTTTGTCTCCCGTTCATTGAAGGACACAGGGCAACAGATCGTAGATCCTGAAAAGGTAGGGACGTCACCAGGCAGTAACCCAATGAGGGATGGGCCAAACAACAACAAACAACAAACAACCCCAAAAAAACACTCAAAGGGCCGCCTGCAAAACCTTACGCCCCAAACCAGCATCCTCCGATGCCAAAACATCCACCTTGTAAAATTTGACAAAAGGTGTGAACCGAAGACCAAGTAGCGGCCTTGCAAACCTGAGAAACAGAAGCACCATGGCGAAAAGTCCAGGATGCGCCAAAAGCCCTAGTATAATGGGCAGTGACAGGAAAAGGGGGCACCCGCCCCTTAACGGCATACACCTGTATGACAACAGTCCGAATCCAACGGGAAACAGTAGCCGCCGACACGGCCAGGCCCTTACGAGGGCCACCCGTGAGGACGAACAAGGAATGCGTCTCACGGAAAGAAGCAGTAGCATCCAGATAGACACGAAGAGCGCGCACCACATCCAGGCAATGCAGCGCCCATTCCTTCATGTGAACCGGCTTCAGGCACAAGGACGGCAAAACAATGTCCTCATTCAAATGAAAAGCCGACACAACCTTAGGCAGGAAGGTCGGCCGAGGACGGAGAACCGCCTTGTCCCTATGAAGGACCAGAAACTGCGACTTGCAAGACAAGGCAGCCAATTCAGAAATCCTCCGAACCGAAGTGATGGCCACCAAAAAGGCCACCTTTTGGGACAAAGACAAGAGCGAAATGTCCTGAAGAGGCGCAAAGAGAGATTCCTGCAGCACCGAAAGCACCAAGTTCAGATCCCACGGTGCCAGAGGCGAGCGGACAGGGGGAGCAATACGCGTAACCCCCTGAATAAACGTACGAACCAAGGCGTTAGACGCCAAAGGACGTTGGAAGAGAACCGTCAAGGCAGAGATCTCAAGGCCCTGCTCAAGGCCAACCCCTGAGCAACTCCGCGCTGCAAAAAGGCAAGAATTTTACTGATGGAAAACAAGCGCGGAGAGCAGGCCCCAGCCTTGCA